TGCGGTATACAGAGGAAGTATAAAGGGACTTTACAATCATAAAACGACAAACTATTGTTGGTTTCCAGCCATGTTGAATTTTATAGATGAAGGTTTCAAGTTGAGATAATCAAAGAATAGTCCTACACGGGAGGAATGTTTGGAAATTTAAAATTTGTTATCAGTATATCTTTTGTAAAATAATGTATTAAAATCAATGAGACAATCGGGCTACAAATAAACCTCGTGAAAGCTAATAAAAATATTCGTAAATGTGGGATCAAGAGCTGCCAATATTTTACGAATATTTTTATTAGCTTAAATAAGATATTAGCTTATATAAGAGCTGCCCCGTGCCATTATTTGCTCGTAAAATTTCAAGCATATACATACTAAATAGAAGTTCATACATAATAATTCCAGAAGCTTCCCGTGAAAAAGATTCATTCATACAATGACCAGAGTATTCACATCTTACAGGAAATATTGAACAAAACCAATAGTTTCTGTATGTAAAATATTAGTGAATACATTTTTCATATCAAACGAAGCCATAGTCATTTGCTAAACATCTGTGCAATCTTTCAAGCTGTCAAAAAATTTTTATACGTATTGTCAACATTTAAGTGGTTAGTTGAAAGATATTTCAAATCGGGTAATAAAAATTCATCATTATTAAAACTCTGGGGTTTCTACCAAGTAAAAATTGATCTGATAGAAATTTCGACGTGATATCAGAATTATGAATTTTAGGCATAACATACAATTAATATGTTAAAAAAATGAATAAAAAACGTTAAATTTATAAAATTTTCAAGAGCGAGGGCGGAGGAGTCTCTAAGTTTACGAAGGAAGTTGTTACTTTGATTTTCAATTTTTAAGATAGTTTTATATATTGAGTTAAAAATTTAAATAAATTTAGAAGGATTAGAGATTGTTAGAACATTCAGATTGTTGAAGTAACGTTATGATCAATCACCACTTTTCGATTCATCGTTGGTTAAGTCTTTCAGAAGACGGAAGGTATATATAAGAGGTATACATTATATATATATTTATATTATATATATAGTATAATAATGTAAATATTATTGTATTATTTATTACAGTAGTATAAGAGAACATATTAAAAGATTTAATTTATGTCGAAGAAATGACGGTATGCTATGCACTGAAAAATTACCAGGTAGTTCAGGAGGGTTAAAAGATATAAGATTATTATTGAATTAATGAATGCCTAGATGATATGAATTATTTTCTAGCAAAACACTCACCGCAGCCAGTTGGCAGTTGCTTGTTAATGGCAGTTACTGCAGGGCTGGCATAACTGCAGGTGCATCGCTGGTTGCAGTGACTGCCTGGTTGACAGCTCGCAGTGATCCAGTCTCATCCACTGCTCACTTACTGCACTTGGCAAACTTACTAACTGTTGATATAACTGCTGCCAGCTGTTGTATAACTGTTGCCAGATGTTGACGTAACTGCTGTCAACTGTTGCCCTAACTGTTGCCAACAGTTGACCTAACTGTTGCTCTAATTGTTTCAAACCGTTACCAACTGTTGATCTAACTTTTGGCCAGTTGATGTAACTGTTGCCAACTGTTGTCCTAACTGTTGCCAACTGTGGCAATTGTTGATATAACTGCTGCCAACTGTTGACGTAACTGTTGCCAGATGTTGACCTAACTGTTGCCAACTGTTGATCTAACCGTTGCCCTAACTGTTGCCGTAACAGTTGCCAACTGTTGACGTAACTGTTGCCAACTGTTGATCTAACTGTTGGCCTAACTGTTGATCTAACTGTTGGCCTAACTGTTGGCCCAAATGTTGAGTAGCTGTTGCCAACTGTTGATCTAACTATTGATCTAACTGTTGGCCCTACTGTTCACCTAACAGTGTATTTAACTGTGCCCTAACGTAGATATTTAGTACTGTACACTGCCTTGCTGAGTTCTAAAAGTTGTTCACTCAATTATAGATTTACCAAAGTTATCACAGCTGTGAACTTCTTCTGTATTGTCAAATGCTTCCTAAATTCAACAATTAAATGAAAATAACAAATTTATTAGAATTTCCCATCTGTTGAACGTTTAAAGTCCATTATTCAGTTCTAGTGGATTGAAGGTAATCGGGACAGTTATGGTAATGGGGACACGCAGGTAATGGGACAGTTATGGTAATGGGGACACGCAGGTAATGGGACAGTTATGGTAATGGGGACAGTTATGGTAATGGGGACACGATGGTAATCGGGACAGTTATGGTAATGGGGACGTGCAGGTAATGGGACAGTTATGGTAATGGGGACAGTTATGGTAATGGGGACACACAGGTAATGGGACAGTTATGGTAATGGAGATACGCTGGTAATGGGACAGTTATGGTAATGGAGATACGCTGGTAATGGGACAGTTATGTAATGGGAGCACGCAGGTAATGGGACAGTTATGGTAATGGGGATACGCGGTAATGGATAGTTATGGTAATGGGGACATGCTGGTAATGGGACAGTTATGGTAATGGGGACACGCAGGTAATGGGACAGTTATGGTAATGGGGACATGCAGGTAATGGGACAGTTATGGTAATGGAGACGAGCAGGTAATGGGACAGTTAAGGTAATGGGGACACGCTGGTAATGGGACAGTTATGGTAATGGGGACACGCAGGTAATGGGACAGTTATGGTAATGGGGACTTGCAGGTAATGGGACAGTTATGGTAATGGGGACACGCAGGTAATGGGACAGTTATGGTAATGGGATAATGGGAACATGCTGGTAATGGGACAGTTATGGTAATGGGAACATGCAGGTAATGGGACAGTTATGGTAATGGGAACATGCAGGTAATGGGACAGTTATGGTAATGGGGACTTGCAGGTAATGGGACAGTTATGGTAATGGGAACACGCAGGTAATGGGACAGTTATGGTAATGGGGACACGCGGGTAATCGGGACAATTATGGAAATGGGGATACGAAGTTCATTTCCGATTGCGTTTTTTCATAAACCTTTGGTAAAATATATTTCAACGACGAAATTCTCGAGACTTGAAAGTAAAACGATTTTTTGCAAATACTAAATGGTCGATCAGAAGATACTCACGAAAATGCATGGCAGTAGTCAAAGTAATATTGAATATGTGATTGAAATCATGAGCGATTTGCGTGGAGAAAAAATTTGCAAAGTTGCGTTCACGCAACTTTGCCCTCACGAGGCAGCCAGTAGAAAATAGGTCAAGTTGACTCATTCATACGGACAATATTCACAAGAACTCCAGAAAAATATGAATACGTAGGAATAATATGGTCAGGCAAAATGATTAATTTGAACGCAAAAAGCGTAAATTTAACATAGGATTATAAAAGTTATTTATAAAGTCCAAGGCGAACTGTGACGCTGTCGTTAACGCGGATCAATGAGACGCGTGACCGCAGTGTCTTAACGTTATCACTGTGGTCGTAACTTACGACCAACTGCTCCTAGTGTCGTAATATTAATAGGACGTGTCCTAAATATCGTAAGGGATCAGTCCCTACGACCTGGATATGTCTACGGCCCCACAGACATTGAAATGGAAGTGGGAATAGGCGGCGAAAAAAGGTCTGAGGAGCGCAGCACACCGACACACCTCACCGCACCACCGCTGGACGGGCACTGACCCGTGACTCGAGGGCTGGACCAATGGCAGGCCTCGACCCCGTGACTGAGCGACCCTCGCCTCCCGTGACAGACCGACCCTCGCTTCCAGTGACTGACCGACCCTCGCCTCCCGTGACTGACCGACCCTCTTCCCCGTGACTGGCCGACCCTCATCCCGAGATTGGACTACCCTCGCCTCCCGTGACTGACCGACCCTCGTCCCCGTGACTGACCGACCCTCGTCCCCGTGACTGACCGACCCTCGTCTCCCGTGACTGACCGACCCTCGCCTACCGCGACTGACCGACCCTCACTCCCCGTGACTGAGCAGCCCTTGCTTCCGTAGCAGAGCGACCCTAACCCCAGTGATTATGAGGATAAAAAAAAAGCTGGTATAGGTATAGGAATGTGATATTTAATCAAAATATAGGTACAATATGTAATACTAAGTACATTATGTACAAGCAGTATGTACACTTTAAATAAGATCTGTACAGCCTCGCGTCTAGGTCATTAATTGGCGGTAATTACCTTCGATTACCTAGCGTCACTAATTGCATTTTCGGAAATAACGGTTGGTAATGAACCGATAACGATCCCTAACCCGACATAATTACCCTAACCCGACATACGTAATTACCCTGATTCATCATAATTACCCTGATTCGTCATAATTACCCTAACCCAACATAATTACCCTGATGTGTACAACTCAACAAATTTTTACCGTCATATCGACTAATTACCCTGATAACCTTTAATTATCCTGGTGACTCGTAATTACCCTGATTATAATTACCCTCATTGCCTCTAATATCCGTAATGACGTATGACAATCCTAATGACCTAAAATTATTTAAACGACTCGACAATTACCGTGATAGCCAATAATTACCTCGATTACCTACAGTAACCAAGATGACTTCTAACTTTTATTATTACGTATAACTACCAGCTGACATAACTTCAGCTTTAATTACCCTATCGACCTATAGTTACCATGATTACCACCATGACCATCATGAGGATTAACCATCATTACCTATAATCACCCAGATGACCTAGTATGACCGTAATTACTTCCAAATCACCGTAAGTACTTCCAAATCACCGTAAGTACTTCCGAATCACCATAAGTACTTCCGAATCATCGTAAGTACTTACAAATTACCCTATAACCTCACATTGGCCTTGTTACTCTTTACGACTCCGTTAACCTAGAACCCTAATGACCTAAGTTACTTTATGACCTCCAATCAACGCAGGTCATTTACGACCATTGGAACAAGACGCTCTGAACACCTAAATGACATAACCATCGCCTTGTGATCGTCACACAATTACCCTTACTTGACACAATTACCCTTACGGCACTACTCGACACAATTACCCTTACTGCTCGGCACAATTACCATTACTACTCGACACAATTACCCTTACTGCTCGACACAATTTCCCTTACTACTCGACACAATTTCCCTTACTACTCGACACAATTACTTTTACTACTGGACACAATTTTCTTACTCCACACAATTTTCTTACTCCACACAATTACCCTTACTCGCCACAATCACTTTTTATTTCACTTTAATTATATTGAACTATTTTTCATATGCCCCCCCCTATCCAACCCTTACGAAATACACTACCAATATACAAAAATTTCCCTTCAATGAACACGGAATTGGCCAGCCACTCCATGAATAATGTTCATTAAATTTATTTTTCCGAATTACACAACAGTTAGTCAATCCTCATGAACGAACGAAGATATAGATAGTAGGGGATTTTTTGCACGAAAAACGCATCAAGTTTCCTTGATGGAATTTTACGAGTCCACTATTGCGTCTAGTAGGAGAAATGTGTGAGATTATGTCCAAATATCGATAAACTTTTTTCAACTTGTATGCGTCATTTGTCCCAGATTACCCGGACAAAATGCTGCGTACGCACTCAGCTCGAGCGGTGGGTAAAAAAGCATGTCACTAATTGAACAAGTTGACCCATACATTATATGAGTATAGTTCACGTCATCGTGAACACATTACAAATGATGTTTATTAGTTTTAAAATAGAGGGTAACTTGCATATATGAAGTAAATTAACATGATAGAATGTGGGCTACATCAACCTACTGTACATGACGTTCGACTGTAATACAGTGAGCGACTGTCACTCCGCGACGTTGACAAGACAAATAATGTGGTAAACTTGAAAACCTGAACATATGCAACATGTACACATTCTCAAGCGCAACATGTACACATACATACGTGATAACCCCCCAAATGTTACCGCAAAATCGCAGAAATGTGATGAAATTTTTTTAAATTCTCCACATATTCACAAGTTGCTGCCGTTCACCGCATGATTTTGCAAAAAAGCAAAGCAAGCTGCTGCTCACCACGAAATTTGCGAAATTGGAAAGGATTTATGAGCAAATTAGTTTATACAAAAAAAGAAATTATTGTTTTGCAACAATAATCATTAACTTGGTTTCACCGTAGCCTGACAATCGCAGGACACAATAATAGGTTAGTTCCACTGCAACCCTAGAGAGATACGGACTCTAAAACGGAGAGCGGCAGCTTCAGGAAATCATTTTAAACGGAAGGATTCTAGAGAATAGTTCAAGATAATATCCATTGACGGTAATGCTAAAACAAGATCAACGATTTTTAATAAAAGCGCCAAGTGAAATCCCTAAAGACATTTTCAAACCCCCAAGACATTTCTAAAAATATAAAATCGATTTTCTAACGACTGCAATTCTAAAGAACCACTTCCAACTAAAGGCAGCCACACGCCTCGACTACCATATTCTGGTAGTTCTTAAGAACTACATTCGAGAACTCGTCAACATACAACAGGGATATAGGCGACAGCTCCGTGGGTATACAGCACGCCGTGGGTACGCGTTCTGGGTACTTGGAGTTCACCAACGTCTGAATAATTGCGTGGTTTGTAGCGTTCATGTGTTCACTTAAAGGAAAAGAACATTCGCCGTCGCAGAAGAAAGCTTGATATCCTGGAGGCGCAACAATCCAGTCATGCCAGTCCACTAGTTTGAACTCGACATAGAGTGGATGTCTTCGGCACTTTTCGTAAGGCGCCGTAGGTTTGGCGCGCTTTACCCTCTGTTTTGGTTTCCCGTCATCAGAGAACACCACGACTGAAGGTCTGACCTCATGCCAGGTGTTGTTGTCGGTGTGTGCGTCTCTTCTTATACGCAAACGAGACATTTCTAGTTTGTCAAAACTATCGGAACTTCTAGAGTATTCGTTTTTATTGAACGGGTCCATTTCTAAAACGAGTCCATTATTCATGTGTGGTTTACGTACCCATCTTTCTACCGCTGGACCAACGTCCAACGTCAACACCCCTGACTCCCTTCGGTCTACCAACACCGTGTCCAACAACCTCAACACGATGTCCCCATCCTCTAAGGTGCGTACTACATCGTACACTCTGATGTAATTCATGTAGGGAAGTTGTTCTTTCTTGTACTTGTGCTTATCGTAGTCCACGAAGTTGCCCATGACGCTGTTGGGGTGGTCGTGCCCCAGGTCTTCACCCGCGCCCGCGTCGGGTGAGTGGGTGACCCGCAGCTGGGCGGTGTGTAGACGCTCGCTGGACGACAGACCATCCAGCGCAAACTTGATGCGTATGCGCCCTACGCCTGGGCGTACGTTCTTCACGTCCTCTGCACAATCGAAGGCTTGTTAGAACATTGAATTAATTCAATATGCGTACGACATCTTTATTAGTTGAGTGTTTTACACGTACGACAGCTTTATTAGTTAAGTGTTTTACACGTAGGGCAGCTTACGAAAATGAATGGGTGAAATAACACTTAAATACCTGTAGCAAAGGTCAAAGAACGATAATCTTATCTGTACCTATAAATTGAGAAATATCCAAATGAAAACGCAGTTAAAGTTAAACTATCTATGAACTTTATGAATGTTAAACCTTGCAAACGTAAAATTATGCAATCTGACAAAGGTTATGACCTTGTCTACTTATTGAGACTTTGAAAATATGAGCAGTAATAAGAATCATCGAAAAAAATGCAGCTAATTGAAACACAGAAAATAAGTCTAACCCAACCTGGAAAGAAAGCAGCTGATGGTAAACCAGGTTACTACTGCTTTACTTAATAACGTTAATTGGTTAAAATTGATATCTAGTAAACCATTGTTTGGCGAGATTAATAATGAGCTTTAATCATAACCTGTTTTCTGCAGGCCATTATTTTATAGCAAGTCGCTTGAAGTCAAATGAATGAAGTGAGGGGAGGGTAGAACTGTGATGGACAGGCGTGAAGATAGCAGTTATCTAGGCAATAGTCTGTTATAAAAGACGTGTGATGTGTAGGTAGACTTTGCTAAGCAATAGTCCATTAGAAAAGAAGTGTGATGTCTAGGCTGCGCTAGGCAACAGCCATCTAGAGAAAGTGGCTAGTACAAGGATTCCTCTACAATTATTGCAACAATTGATATGTAGTTCTTTTGGTACAAAATACGAAACAGAAAACTGAATACAGTATGTAAATATATCCAGTATAAGACCGAAATTAAAAAAATTTTTAATCGATATGCGTAATAAGTCGAAACGTTTTGGTATTATGATATTGTGGTTCAATTTCAGAAAATATTGTTCGGGTTTCTAACATTACGCTATGATATTTATTGGATTATAGGACTGAACTTCTTCTGAACTGAAATTTGTGTTATGAACTGACGATGGAGCTGAACTCCGAAATGTTTTCTCTTCTAAAGAATTGATACATTTTTGTGATATTGTCTTTGATTTTAAATTCATGATATTTATCACATACGAGAAACTCGCATGTTTTAGGTCACTTTTAGCCGCGTAGAAGACGTACTCATATCCGCTGAGATCCGGTTCCGCGTAACGACCTTGGCGGGAGATACGCAAGTTGTCAATGATAAGGCAAGTTCGCGTGCTCTCTTCAAACTTCGAACTTAAACGCCATTCGAGCTTAAACTTCGAGATCTTTTGTATCTTTTTCATTTATGTTTTACTTAAAGTTCAACATCGAGTTGGAATTTAGTATTCAAGATCAAGTAGATGCTCGAGTTCAACTTAGCTTCCAAGTTGATGGTGAGGTTCATCTAAAAAAGTTCTTATGGGAAAGACAGTTGATATCCGACCGTCAGATGAGAAGGGGAGGAATCAGGATGTAGGGACCATGAAATGGGAGTGAAAGGATCATGAAATGGGAGTGTTAGGATCATGAAAGGAGGATTGAGGAGGTAGGGGCTGTGAAGGTCACTATAGAAATGCGTGGGGATTTGAAGGGAGGGCTGGATTAGGGTGAAAAAAAGGGGTTACAGGGGACGCATTTTCAGGAATTATCGTGCAAGAATTAAGATTTTGTAGGATATTTTTTATGAATTATCGTGCAAGAATTAGGATTTTGTAGGACATTTTTGAATGGTATCGAGCAAAAATTAAGATTTTGTAGGATATTTTTTATGAATTATCGTGCAAGAATTAGGATTTTGTAGGACATTTTTGAATGGTCGGGCATGGGATGAGGAGGTTCTAGAATGTGGTGTGGGAATAACGAAGTGGCATGAAGAGGAAAATCTGAATATTTGGGTTTTGAAATATGGAGTATGAATGCGATCAGAAAATGATATGCAGTGGCTTAATATGAGGGTTCAAAAACTGGGTGATTGTCAAAAAATATAGCTCAGTACTCACTGCAGTGAGTGACAGTGAGCGCATTTTCTCGTCGACGAAAACGTGAAGTCACGGACGGACAGGCAGACGGACGGACATGACGAGCACAATAGTGCATTTTTTCCATAAATGAGAAAATGCGCTAAAAAAAGGGTAGACTGAGTAGAGAGAAGTGACTGTAGGGCTCACCTATTTCGGTGATGTTAGCGATGCTGCGGACGGTGTCAGGGGGTACAGCATGTCTGTAGTGGAAGTCTGTCGCTTGAGGGGCAGCGTGGTTGAATATTTGCTGTTCCTTGTACAGCTGGTGCATGTACTGCGGTACCCTGGTGGGCACAGCATGCTGGGCAGGTTTTCTCATGCCCAGGAACTTTAGTAGCTCTTTCTGCAGCTCATCTGTGGTCGACGCTGAGGCACTCACCCCAAGGAGTAGCACGCAGCAGAGCACCCACAACAGGAGGTGCGGGTGACACCAGCCTCCAGGTAGCAGGTTACGGTTTCGCCGGCCACGGTTCCCCACACTCCCCACCTGCAACGGTCGTGTAGGGCGGGTGATGATTGGGGAATAATGCATTATACACAAAATTATAACTACCATTGGAAGTGAAATCTCGTGGCTAAGGCACTCGATACTTAACTGAATAGAACGTTTTGTGATTAGTAACATAAGACGGAAATTTGAGATTTTTTGCCTCTTATTTAAGCAGATATCCACAAGTGTCCTACATGAAGTGAAGGAAGGGAACATGAAGTGAAGGCAGGGAACATGAAGTGAAGGAAGTGAAGGAAAGGAACATGAAGTGAAAGAAGGGAACATGAAGTGAAGGAAGGAAACATGAAGTGAAGGAAGGAAACATGAAGTGAAGGAAGGGAACATGAAGTGAAGGAAGGAAACATAAAGTGGAGGAAGGGAACATGAAGTGAAGGAAGTGAAAGAAACGTAAAGTGAAGGAAAGGAACATGAAGTGGAGGAAGGGAACATGAAGTGAAGGCAAGGAACATGAAGTGAAGGCAGGGAACATGAAGTGAAGGCAGGGAACATGAAGTGAAGGAAGGGAACATGAAGTGAAGGCAGGGAACATGAAGTGAAGGCAGGGAACATGAAGTGAAGGCAGGGAACATGAAGTAAAGGAAGGGAACATGAAGTGAAGGCAGGGAACATGATGTGAAGGAAGGGAACATGAAGGGAAAGCAGGGAACATGAAGGGAAGGCAAGGAACATGATGTGAAGGAAGGGAACATGAAGGGAAAGCAGGGAACATGAAAGGAAGGCAGGGAACATGAAGGGAAGGCAGGGAACATGATGTGAAGGCAGGGAACATGAAGTGAAGGAAGGGAACATGAAGTGAAGGCAGGGAACATGAAGTGAAGGCAGCGAACATGAAGGGAAGGCAGGGAACATGAAGTGAAGGCAGGGAACATGAAGTGAAGGCAGGGACGCCCGACACAAAAGGTAATGTAAATATTTGCCTGTCCTGCCCCGCCTGCACCGAGCTACCCTTCACCCTTCCTCGTGTCTGGGGAAACCCTTCACCCTTCCTCTTGTCTGGGGAAACCCTTCACCCTTCCTCGTGTCTGGGGAAACCCTTCACCCTTCCTCGTGTCTGGGGAAACCCTTCACCCTTCCTCGTGTCTGGGGAAACCCTTCACCCTTCCCCGTGTCTGAGGAAACCCTTCACCCTTCCCCGTGTCTAAGGGAACCCTTCACCCTTCCCCGTGTCTGGGGAAACCCTTCACCCTTCCTCGTGTCTGAGGAAACCCTTCACCCTTCCTTGTGTCTGAGGAAACCCTTCACCCTTCCTCGTGTCTGAGGAAACCCTTCACCCTTCCTTGTGTCTGGGGAAACCCTTCACCCTTCCCCGTGTCTGAGGAAACCCTTCACCCTTCCCC